GCCCTCTACTATGGCGCGCCCTGGGGAGTCCTACTCCCACCGGGAGTAGGATTCCCCCCCTTTCCAAGTGGTAGGAGTAGGAGATAAGGAAGGGGAAGAGAGAAGAGAAGGAAGGAGGGGGCGCCGCCCCTCCCCCTACTCTAATTCGGACTAGGCCTTGGGGCGCGCGTGGCCTGCCCTATGTAGCCCCCCTCTCTCTCCCTTAAATCCCAATAAGGCCCATATACTCCCCGACGAATTCCCGTAACTCCCCGGTACTCCGATAAATACCCGAACCACTCAGAACCTTTCCGATGTCCGAATATAGCCTTCCAATATATCGATCTTTACGTCTCGAACATTTCAAGACTCCTCGTCATGTCCCTGATCTCATCCGGGACTCCGAACACCCTTCAGTACATCAAAACACATAAACTCATAATACCGATCATCACCGAACGTTAAGCGTGCGGACCCTACGGGTTCGAGAACTATGTAGACATGACCGAGACTCATCTTCGGTCAATAACCAACAGCGGAACCTGGATGCTCATATTGGTTCCTACATATTCTACGAAGATCTTTATCGGTCAAACCGCATAACAACATACGTTGTTCCCTTTGTCATCGGTATGTTACTTACCCGAGATTCGATCGTCGGTATCTCAATACCTAGTTCAATCTCATTACCGGCAAGTCTCTTTACTCGTTCCGTAATGCATTATCCCGCAACTAACTCATTAGTCACATTGCTTGCAAGGCTTAAAGTGATGTGCATTACCGAGAGGGCCCGGAGATACCTCTCCGACAATCGGAGTGACAAATCCTAATGTCGATCTATGCCAACTCAACAAACACCATTGGAGACACCTGTAGAGCACCTTTATAATCACCCAGTTACGTTGTGACGTTTGGTAGCACACGAAGTGTTCCTCCAGTATTCGGGAGTTGCATAATCTCATAGTCATAGGAACATGTATAAGTCATGAAGAAAGCAATAGCAACAAACTATATGATCATAGTGCTAAGCTAACGGATGGGTCTTGTCCATCACATCATTCTCTTAATGATGTGACCCCGTTCATCAAATGACAACACATGTCTATGGTCAGGAAACATAATCATCTTTGATAAACAAGCTAGTCAAGTAGAGGCATACTAGGGACACTCTGTTTGCCTATGTATTCACACATGTATCAAGTTTCCGGTTAATATAATTTTAGCATGAATAATAAACATTTATCATGATATAAGGAAATAAATAATAACATTATTATTGCCTCTAGGGCATATTTCCTTTAGTACACATGTCAAAAAATGGAGTTGTTGAGAGGAAGAACCGGACTCTCATTAAGATGGCGAGGACAATGCTTGATGAATACAAGACCCCAAAACATTTTTGGGCAGAGGCAGTTGAGACAGCTTTTCATGCTACAAATCGACTCTATCTTCACAAGCTACTTGGACAACGGCGTATGAGCTACTCATCGATAACAAACCCCAAGTCAGATACTTTCGAGTATTTGGCTCAAAATGTTACATTCTTGATAGGCATCGTTGTTCCAAATTTGCTCCTAAAACTCATGAAGGTTTCCTACTTGGTTACGGATCGAACTCTCGCAGCTACCGTGTCTACAACAACTTCACTTGAAAAGTTGAAGAAACGGTTGATGTGAAGTTTGATGAGACTAACGGCACGCAAGTAGAGCAATTTCCAATTGATGTAGGAGATCAAGAACCTTCGGAAGATACCCAAGACTTATCTATTGCGAAGATTTGTCCCGTGGAGATTAAGGAGAGTACATCATCCACTCAAGTGGAAGCTCCAACTTCACATCAAGGTCAACAACAAGTTGATATGGAGGCGTCTGATACGTCTCTGTCGTATCTATAATTTTTTAATGTTTTCATGCCAATATTATACAAGTTTTACATGCTTTTGGCAACTTTTTATATGATTTATTGGACTAACCTATTGATCCAGTGCCAAGTGCTAGTTCCTGTTTTCTGCATGTTTTTTGTATCGCAAAGTATCCATATCAAACGAAGTCCAAATGCAATAAAATTCACAGAGAATTATTTTGGAATATATGTGATTTTTGGGAGTTGGAATCACTGCAAACGGAGGCCCACACAGCCCACAATGCACCGGGGCGCGCCAGAGGCCCCTGGCGCGCGGTGGTGGGTTGTGCCCACCACGTACGTCGGTTGGAGCTCTACTTTGGGTGCAAGGAAGCTTATATCCGAAAAAATCATGTTAAAATATCAGCGCAATCGGAGTTATGGATCTCCCAGAATATAAGAAACGGTTTTCGGCCAGATCAGGGAAGCGCGAAACAGAAGAGAACATAGAGGGAGATCCAATCTCGGAGGGGCTCTCGCCCCTCCCATGCCATGGAGACCAAGGACCAGAGGGGGAACTCTCCTCCCATCTTGGGAGGAGGCCAAGGAAGAATAAGAAGGAAGGGGGCTCTCTCCCCCTCGATTCCGGTGGCACCGGAGCGCCGCCGGGGGCAACGATTGGAACGACGATCTACATCAACAATCTTGCTACCGTCAAGACCAACTTTCTCCCCCTCTGTGCAGCAGTGTAACACCTCTTCCCCCCGCTGTATTCTCTACTTAAACATGGCGCTCAACTCCATATATTATTTCCCAATGATCTATGGTTATCCTATGATATTTGAGTAGATCCGTTTTGTCCTATGGGTTAATCGTGATCTTGGTTGGTATGATTGTATATTTTATTTATGATGCTGCCCTACGGTGCCCTCCGTTCTCGCGCAAACGTGAGGGGCCCCCGCTGTAGGGTGTTGCAATATGTTCATGGTTTACTTATTGTCAGTGTTGCGGGGGATGACAGTAGCCTAAACGCGGATAAGTGGGTTATAGCGTATGGGAGTAAAGAGGACTTGATACTTAATGCTATGGTTGGGTTTCACAACCTTAATGATCTTTAGTAGTTGTGGATGCTTGCTAGGGGTCCAATCATAAGTTCATATGATCCAAGTAGAGAAAGTATGTTAGCTCATGCCTCTCCCTCATATAAAATTACAAGAATGATTACCGGTACTTGTTATCGATTGCCTAGGGACAAATAACTTTCTTATTGACAAAAGCTCTCTACTAAAACTAACTTAGTTGTGTATTTATCTAAACAGCCCCTAGATTTTATTTACGTGCTCTTTATTATCTTGCAAAACTATCCTATCACACCTACAAAGTACTTCTAGTTTCATACTTGTTCTAGGTAAAGCGAACATCAAGTGTGCATAGAGTTATATCGGTGGTTGATAGAACTTGAGAGAATATTTGTTCTACCTTTATCTGCTCATCGGGTTCGACACTCTTATTTATCGAAAAAGGCTACAAACGATCCCCTATATTTGTGGGTTATCAATACCTTTTTAGGAGCCGTTGCTGAGTAGCAATAGCATGGGGTGAACATTCTCGTGTGTGCTTGTTTATTTTATCACTAAGTAGTTTTTATTTTATGTTCTAAGTTGCTCTCTATCTTTAGTTATGGATATGAAACATGAAACACCAAAAAAATTAGTTGTACTTGCTACTCATGAAGATGGGAAACCTCTTAAAACCCTCGATGCTCGTTATGTAAAAGATATTATGCACTACTTTGATGAAAAAAGTAGATGTCAAGAAATAAACAAAATGTAGTCCATTTATTTAAAAAAGTCTCCAAAAGATGTATTAAAAGAAAATTTGTATATGGTGTACTCTAAAAAAATGTTCCCGTGTACCGTAAAAATATATATGGTGTACTTAAAAAAATCGACAAAGAAAGAACGAAGAAACCCAATAATTTTTTAGAAAAATAATAAAAATACTAAAAATGGGAACCAAAGAAAACCAATGAAAAGAATAAAAAAAGGTGAAACCCAAGAAAGGACAAAGAAAAACGAAGAAAGCCGAGAGAAGAAACCAAAAAAGCAAACAAAGAAAGAAAAGCAAAAAACTAGTGAAAACTAAGAAAGAAACAAGAAAAACAAAGAAAAAACAGTAATAACCTTGAAAGAAACAAAAAAGCCGGTGAAAAAGCAAAGGGAAACAAAAAAAATCAAAGAAAACCATGAAGAATCAGAGAAAACGAAAAAGAGAAAAAGAATGAAATGAAAAAAAAACGGAAGAACTAAAGGAACGAAGAGTAGCGATAGAACCGAGGAGAAAACAGGAAATGTACAAAACGAAGAAGAGCCCTTTCACTGCATGGCAGATTGTGGCATATTGAGGTGAAAAAGGCAGCAATTACGACCAACCAAACGAAAAAACAAAAATGCTAGACACACGAACTAAACCAACAGAACTTCACGGATCAGCTGACTTGTCTTGTTTTAATTAGGCTAAATAACCTACTCCTAGGGAAAGCCAGCCCCAGATACCTAAATTTTTCAGAGAACCTTGGGCAGCATAAGAATTTACAAAACACAAAACAACTAATTTTTCAAACAAAACTGACCTTATGGCACTGCTTTGATGTAGATGTGGTCATGGAAACTAGTGGAGAAATAGTAATTCGTTTTAAAGATCCTACTGACACCAAATCTTCTTGCCAATCAAGATGGGAAATTTAGGAAGCAATCTATGTACTGCAACACATGAAGAATCAGGAAGAGCAAGAAGGCATAACAAGGCTGGACAAGATTAAACTGGCAACTGAAACAATCTAATCTGAAATGGTTTGCAAGAAGCGGCCAAACAACACATAACAATGTAAACCAGCACGCAGGCAAGTAGAAGCTCAGTGATAATCAAACATCGAACATATTGAGTTGAGATGATTATAATGCTAATAGTAGATACATGCCATTGCGACTGCTGCTGATTTCCTCTTCCTCCATTTCTCTCTAACTGAACTTTTATGTTTGGTAAATTGCTGCCACCCTTTGGCTGTTGGTTCTTGCCTTTGTTGGAATCATGGATAAGATAGAAGATAATAGACTGCACTGACTAAATATATGCTAAATGACTTGATGCTTAACTGATAACATATTTTTTATCTTATTTTAAAAGTAGTCAAATGTATCCCTGTATTGGCGCTTTTTGGAAAGCTTTTCAGAAATGACGTATTTATGCCCCGATGCTGATACGCGTATCCGAATCGGTGCAATCTGGATCAAAGGATACAAATAAATTCAGAAAATAGGCACATCTTTGGGGGAGTAGATTTAACATGTGGAACAGCCAACCAGAACAATAGGACACAAATTGCATTTAGTGACTACTTTGCAGATTAAAACATGCAAAAAAGACATGACAACTTTAATTAAGGATAATAAGAGAAAAGTTGGTGCTGTTGATAGCCTCCTGAACTCCGTTGAATAAGAGAAAACAGTACAGTGCCAGATTGTTTTTCCCAAGGGTTCCATTACTTTACATAACAGAGCAGCAGTTCAAATACAAACCAGATCAAAAGACAATTCGAAAGTTAAACTAAATAAGGAAGTACAGTGCCAGGTAGCAGAAACAAGATGCAGATCAACATATTGTGGACTAAATTTCTAACATATTGTGGACTAAATTTCTAACTAAGGAGTTGGGATGATTCTGCATGTACTAACCAGTTAGCTATATGTACATAACGTAATATACAAAATCGAGATCTTCATGCTTTCACTGGAAACTCGGAACTCTACCTGGACGCTAGCGAAATGTACAAAACGAAGAAGAGCCCTGCACTGCACGGCAGATTGAAGTGAGTAGCATATTCAGGTGAAACGGCAGCAACTGCGACCAACCAAACAAAAAAAAAAGAACAATCGCACAAGACTTATTATGAGGTTAGGAAAAGCAAGAAAATGGTGGGTACACTACAAACAATGAAGTGTTCTGTTACCTTGGATTAATAGTCTGTCTGATGGCTGGAATGGCTCATTTCAACTAGCGGCACTGTCTCACTAGCTCCTCGCTGTTGCCAAATTAGAAATCGAAGACTGGCAGTGATTCGAGGGAAGGACAGCCGCAGATAGCGAAATTTTTCAGAGAACCTTGGGCAGCATAAGAATTTATAAAACATAAAAACAACCAATTTTCCAAACAAAACTGACCATATGGCACTGCTTTGATGTAGATGGGAAATTTAGTAAACTAGAAGACACAGTAAATCCTTTTAAAGATCCTGCTGACAGCAGATCTTGTTGCAAATCAAGATGGGGAACTTAGGAAGCAACCTATATACTGTAACACTTGAAGAAGGCATAGCAAGGCTGGACAAGATCAAACTCAAACTCAAAACTGGCAATTGAAACAATCTAATCTGAAATGGTTTGCAAGAAGCGGTCAAACAACACATACCAATGTAAACCAGCAGGCAGGCACAGAGACAATCAAACATCAGAGACAACTGGAGAATAGCATACTTAAGATGATTATAATATGCTAATAGTAGATACATGCCATTGCCATTGGTTCATGGGCACCTCTTATAACTTGATAATACTAACATAGATGTCCTCCGGATCGATCAACTACTAGTGTTAGTGTAGATAGATAGCATTGGTAAAACCTCCTTCATCCCAATCAGTCAAATGAAATTACAAGATCAACAATCTCACACCAGAACAAGCCCATCAACAACATGGGAACCCTCCCCTCCCAGCTGTCGGAACATGTCGGCATAAATCCTGAGCTTCTCGTCCGAGTCGTCGTCGGACTCCTCCTCCACCTCCTCCGGGTTGCGGCGCATGTAGGCGTATTCCTCAGTGGAATAGTCCGTGTACGTCAACCATGGATTGTCAGCCTTGATCTTCTCGGATTCGGCGTTGTAGTCTGCGATCAGCCTGGCCATGAACTCATCGTGGTCCAAGCCCGCTTCTTCGTCCGAGTCGCAGTCATCGTCCGAGTCCTCCACCTCCTCCTCCGCCTTGGCCTGGACGGTGAAGGCCGCCTCCTCCTCTGTCTTGGCCTTGACGGTGAAGGCCGCCTCCTCCTCCTCACGGTCCTCCTCCGCCTCGTACTCCGCCCTGGCCTTGACGGTGAACGCCTCCGCCTCCGCCTCCTCCTGGGTCACGGTGAAGGGTGAACCCTCGTAGCCGGTGGCCATCGGCACGGAGGACTGTACCTTTTCGCCGGGATTGGTGGATCGGGATTCTCTCGTTGGATCTCAAGAAAACGATTAAGGGCATATATAATGGTGGATAAGACAGTCTTATCTTAAGTCTTGCATGTAATTTAGAGATGACAAAAGAGTATGTCTACAATGGGTTATATCTTACCCTTATCTTCAATAACTAACAATTCCTTAAAACATGGTGAGACAAATTGTGTTAAGAGATCATCTCTTGTTTTATCTTAAATAAGAGAAGACAAGCCTTTTTTTATGAATTCTCTCTCCTCCACTTTATCATTTATCCTACGTGGCACTCCTAAGATAGCACTATTGTATATGCCCTAAACGAAGGGAAGGAGGCGGCTGCGGCCGCTGGCGTATATATATGTCCAAGACAGCCGCGTCTCCGGACCGGACTCTGCCAGACTCGTTCATTGGGCTGGGCTGGGCCCTCGTGATCACATCTTTCTTTCCGCTAGCTAGCTTGCTTGTGTTGCTCAAAAAAAAAAACTAGCTTGTTTGTTGGGAAAGAATAAAAATCTAGTTTTGCCGGCGGTTTTTTTTGGCTGGTTGATTTTTTCGCTTGATTTTGTTATTTCAAAAAGTTTCTATTGAAATAATTGCAGGAAAAATATTTAAGAATATTACAACTAACAATTTAATCACAATTCCCAAAAATTATGTCGCGACCTCCGATGTACAGTTCCAGTGCCACGGCCTGCTCCAAGGTGGCAGGGTCCTTCGCCGCTGCTCATGACGAAGTGGACCAGGTAGAGGATTGAGGCCGTGGCCAGTCGGGGGAGCAGAGGCACGAGAAGGAGGTTGTGGCCCTCGTTCATTGTGGCCCTGCCGGCCATGGAGGAGGAGGTTGTGCGGCGACGTGAAGGAAGGGGAGGAAGAGAATGCGAGATGGTAAGGGGAGGGTGCTAGCACGGGAGGACGTGGGGACCGCGGCTAGGGTTTTACCATGGTGTCGTTGCTTTTTATATGCCAAAATGTAATGAATTTGCTCCGGTTTAGATGAAAGACATCTAGTTTTATGTAAAAAAAATAACCAAGTATGAATGAAAATAGTTTGATTTGTTTAAATATGCATCAATTTTTAATTTCAATGAAATCCCGTTCGAAATGTCTCCGAACATTTGCGGCTACGATTTGATCGTCGGCTTTCATATCTGTGTCCGCGAACTGGTCTCCCAGTCTACGGACGGATACAGTGTCCAGTTTGAAGGTCAGCACTGAAGATGCCCTAAGGTCCTAAGCATTGAAGATGGCCTGGGCGTGCATGTCGAGTCGAATAGCCATCGGAGGCGTTGCCTCTCCGCATGGTCTTCTGATCCCGGCACCGGAAAAACAAGGCAATATCGTGGCTGGCAACCAAGCGAACCCCAGACAAGCAGCATGCTACAAATCCATCACCACTAGCTACCAGGACATCAGATTTTCACATATCGGCAGTGTACAATGCTACAATCAAATTCTCACATATCGGCAGTGTACAATGCTACAAGATGGTCATAGATCTAACCCTACCACATACTCACAAATCTAACTAGAATGAGTACTAAGAAGGGGGTGATTGAACTCACATACGCTATAGGTGCAACTCGAAGGAGACGCGGAACAGGTCGAAGAAGAGGGGGACACGAGTCGCCGCTGCTGTCTACCGCCGACCGGAGAAGATGCGTCGTTTACCTGCTCGGCGGTGCCGAAACGCGTTGGAGGAAAATCTCAAAATGGGTGGGGGTATGGTGGCGAGAGTTTGGGCAGTGAGGTGAAGGGTAGTATATAGGGCAACCGAAACGGCAGGAGGTAACCCCAATTCCTCCCACTGACTTTTCGAAGATACGTGCGAGCTTGCATCATCTTCGCGGTCGCATGAGCTCGGCGCCGTGTTCCCCTCCCCTACTTCGCCCGGACCTGAATCGCTAGAAACTACCGCTTCAGCGGCTTCTAGCGGGCATGGTTATGAGATGCTTTAAACTCCGTGTGATGCAGACAAAATGGTGAACCCGGGCAATCAAGCAACCTTTTTTTTTTGCATGGGCTTGATTGGGCTGTATGTAGGCAACCAAACACGTCCCAACAGGCACACATGAAGTGCTCAGTGCAGTGTGCACAAAAGCTGGAGGCGGCTCTAGAAGAAACAATATGATATGCTTAGCGCCAGCGGGGACTCCAGCCCGCGGTGCACCACGACACGCATCAGCGAACGGAGCGACAACAGCTAACGAACGACAGAGCGTGTGAGGGAGTAGAGACCGCATCAGGTTGGGTGATTTTGTGGCAGCATCAGACGAAGGAGGCAAACAGAAGTGCGTCTGTGCATGCAAAGTACTCACTACTACTCCAGTATACATGTTTTGAGAGGCCAACGGAGTACTTCAGTCCAACTAAAGGTCATGTAGGATAGATAGAAATACACATGCCGGATGATCTGTAGCTGCTGCTGCTGCAAATCTGCAACGGCATATTAATGAGGCGCCGGTGGTAGAATATCATATCCGTGCATCTGCTGTGATTTGGTGGGGTGTGGTCAAACCAAAAGCGCTTAACCAACGTTGTCTCTCGTGTCGAAAACGAAACGCAAAAGCCTCTCTGAAAAGCTGGCATGCAGGTGCAGCAGCTACAGCCAGGACCCATCTAAAGCTTGGCTTCTTTGCCGTTCCCTTTCTACTAGGTAGGAAGTGCGCCTTGCCGCACCCAGCAGCGATGCTGCCGGGTACGATCATATCCAATTCGGTAATATAGTCATAGGAGCATTGCAAATATAAAAAATAACCAATAATATTGATTAAGTACAGTGTCATACACCAAATCATTATCTTTGAATAAGATATGAAATTTAAGACGGGTTTTAGACATGGATAACATATTGGATAAAATATATTAACAAATAGGATGAACAGTTCATATATAAGCATCCTCAGAAAAAGAATTCTGGTTTATGACGTTGGAAGTCACATTAAAATTTATCTGAAAATGAGCAGATGTGCCAAGTCAAAGAAGAACAGTACAAAGGATACATTGAGCTTATACAAGCATACGAAGGCAGGCTATGTAGACATAATCGACATCATCGATATAATAGTTCATAGATTCAGATATAGACCAGATATGTTCTCCTTATAGAGACCATAGTAAATACATAGTACGTGACTTAATTGTCTCATCTTGATCTATTTTCATACTGTATGGTAGGCAAAAGATACTACTCGGCGTACATAAAGACCTTGATCGTCGTCGTGCCTTCATGTTGCCTTTGACTTAATCAAATGCCTGCAAAGAAGCAACAAGGACAACGGTAGTGGCGGCAGCGATTTTAAGCAGTCACCGGTGCAGACAGGGAGGCCTCTACCAGCGTTGTGGCCAGCGGTGTTTCCCTTTTGGGCTGCCTCGATGCCATGGTCCTCACTGGTCACTGCAGAGTAGTGGCATAAGCGACGGCCTATACAACCCTTCCAGCGATAGCGGCGGGCAAACCGGCAGGAGACATAGCGGCAACCAACAAACCAAGACGATGTGAGGGGCGGCCAGAGAGAGACAGCATGGTGGCGACCTGCAAGTATATGATTTCTCGTTAGTAAATATCATATCGCATTCTCTTTAGCATGTACTTATAAGAACGGAAGTGACACTGAATGTAGTAGGTAATGATCATTGTCTTAAAGCGAAAATGACTGTAGAGATGTAATTCTTCTAAAAAATAATAGCTATAGATACATAATTGTCCATGTCGCACCCATCTCTACATGACAAAAGAAATAGCAATACTAACATTGTGCAATCTGGGATATTAATGCAGAACATCATTCACAAAAAGGGAGTTGAGCAACAGGAAAAGGGGAGGGGCACAGTTTCAAGTCAGACCTTTAATTTTCAGAGTTGATAGGCTTGAGATATAGTTTTGGAGAACCTGAGGATTGTAGACCACCCAATCTTCAATCAGGTATCATTGTTATCATTGATAGACGCATAATAATTGTTCTGCCATAATGCTGCGACGGAAAATAAAGATATTCTTAAAAAGAATGCTCCAAGGTTTAGAATATGGCATCAAATCTCATGACTTGTAAACTTCAAAATTATATAGCAAATGAGTACAAGAAGAAAGATAAATCAACATCTGAAAGCAACCGTAGTAACATATCCTTGTGAAACGACTACTGTTTCCACACTTCTTTTTAGCCTACACATATGATTCAGGATGGCAACTTATTCTGCTAGTGCAAGCTCCATAGCGCAGTTTAGTTAGATATTTGGGCTGCATGATGATTAGACAATGCCAAAAGGAGCTTGAATTTTAACGCTAGTATTATACTGCATAGATAACATATCTTCAGTCTGCCATGATTATCACAGAACATCATGAAAGGTGAGTTTACATGAGAAACTAACCCATCGGTAGATCTTACCTAAGATGTCTTGTACAATGATAACCAGCTATCAAGGCCAATCTCAAAACTGTTGTGACAGAAAAAAACAGAAATGATTGAAGTATAAGCTTTACAATTGCACTGTAATAGAGAATTTCATCGGCGGGTAAGAACAATGAAATATGTAAACAAAAAGAAAATGCATCATGAGAAACTAAAATGTCTCCTCTCACAATTTCAAACCAAATAAGATACACGTAGCAGTGGGTGCAGATCGGGATCGCGCCCTGGTGCGAGGGTGCCGGTCCAAACGCCAGGTTTAGCATATGCATTCCCACTGTATGCATCGTACAAAGAATAATGAAATCCAAAGGAAGCATCCATGCACATACATGCAACCAAACAGGAAAAACAAACTTTATTATGACACACGACTATTTTAATAATCAACAAACAGTGCGTTATCCAAGAATGCACCATTATTGATCTATAACATCTACTTCAACAGGCAAGATTTTTCTACCACAGAAGAGCCGCACCGGGCTCACCTTCATATTTCTTGAACAGCGTCACAACAAACGTAGCAACCACCAGTTCTTTCTTGCCCAGTTCAATAACTTCATCGGCAGCAAATGCCAAGGCAATCTGATCCCAGAGCACGACACTGGTTTGCTTGCATCTATAAACAGCAAAGTATAAATAAGACTGTTATGACAAAGGAAAGGTGATACAGCCATAAATATCAGTACACACATGTGAGGTTCTTGACATATATGAGCCTTTCAGCCCTGCTTGCACTATGGTACTAAACAGCCTCTTATACACCACAAATGAGCCAGAACACGTTTACACGAATAAACCAAAAAAAATTACTATATATGGTAAACAGCACTATAGAAAGGCATAGGCAGATGAACGGGTGGTAGGGAAATACCTGTGAACTTTTCAGGCATACCAGTTGGGCAAGGGAGCAGAGCAAACGGAGTTAAAGCATACAGAACAGGAAATCTGGCTCAATGTCAGGCCTTATGAAATCAGTAGTGAACGAAGTGATCTTGATCATGCAATATCCCCTGAACAGGCCTGAATAGATACTTCCTTAACAACAATCCACAACTACAAAACCAAGAAAAAACTTAGTAATTCTATCAGGCATGAATGAATAGCAAAAAGGGAACAGGACAGAGAGATACACACATAGAGCGTGAGGCATGAGATATCACAATAGCACCCCATGTTCAACAACTTGCAGCTCTGGCTTGCCGCTCAGCCGAGGGACACAGCACCCAACGCTCACTGCATCCATGACTCTGTTGGTTCACTATATGGAGCAGCAGAAAAAGGGGGTCAGAACTGTGCGCATGGACATCTGTGAGACATGAACCTGGGATGCAGTACCTGAGTGCACGCACAACGCGAGTACAAAGGCTGATGACCCCAATAGAGCAGTGGCGTGAGCCGCG